GAAGAAAGCGCAAGTTTAAAATAATTCTAAGAGCGTCAGTTGATTTTATTTCTACTATATTCAAATTTCAACACTCGTCGTAGGCAGCATGAAAGGAAGCACTGCACTCTTGGCGTGAACCGATTCTCAGTCAACGGTCCTACACTCAAACACGCATCACCACCCGACTTGTTTGAAAAATAAATAATTTCCAGTACTTTTGGTACAAAAGGCGAATTTTCTACTGAGCCTGATATTTTGTGGACCCAAAAGTCCTGTAGCCGAGATCGGTAGTTCATAGCTTCAGGGAGACGAAGAACGACGGATGCATTATTTCCCACGGAAGTACTGTTTTGACGTTGACTGTTTTGACGTTGAATCCCAGATAAAATTGTATTTGCACCAATTGGTGGCACGATACCGAACTTGCTTGATTACTTTTCTTTTAGCGACAACATAACCAGACATAATCTACAGATATTGCAGAATTTATTTTAATCCGCGTACAGCGCGAAAGACAAGTATGGACATAAAGACCACAATAGCGCTCTGCATTTCTACTGCATGTATTTCTGTACTTGTGGACTGTCCGTATGACTATATTCAAAAATCGCAAAATCGTTTAAGCCTACCCCTTTTTATAGTTTTTTTTTTTTTTTCATAGATGAATTGTGGCGAATCCCGGATGGGTTCGTGTAAAGACGTCGCACGTGTTCAAGGACATATTTCGGCATGATTTCCCGCTTGGTGACAACGTTGAGCTGGCCGGTGTTCCGCTTCTTTTCTAACTATAGGCCGGGCAACGCCAGACGCCTAAATTAGTCAAGCAGCCCCAAAACTTGCGGTAGTACACCTTCCGAACTCCTGGGGGTTTTTTTGGAGATGGTCGCTGGCCTTCGCCCACCCTGACAGAGCCCCGAACAATTATGATGCAAGGGCTGCAGAGGCTATCTGCGCATTCCATTTCTTAATCAGCGAACAAATGGGAAAAGAAGAGAATGAAAACTTCGTAATACCTGCTGTCTTTTAATAAATGGCATAATATGCTACTATTGCTAGTTGCACTTTTTTACGTGAAGAAAATTGTGATATTGCGGTTCAATCTCCGTGTTTCCCGTTCTCTTTGCTGAGACGCAAGATATTTGTCGGCTGTCGAGTTTTCAGTTACATTTGTTGACAGAAACTAAATGCACGTTTGGCCACGAAGAAATTTTTTTCACAGGCTGAAGATAGATGAAATATACCATAAACCGTTTCACTTTTTATGGAAGTTTGTTTTTACTCTTCTTAGTAGCTTCAACGAGGCGGCCGTCACTCTAGAAAACACCTGTAGTGCGAACCTATATATTATGCCCCAGAAATGGTCAGACTGTGTCCCTCTGACTGCAATATCTTTGACTTGTAATTAGTCATGATTATTACTTTGTACAAAAAACAGAAAAACAAAAACACAATAGTGATACAATCACTCTTCAGTGTGCCGTTGTTAGAACGACCAATTTTCAACTCTCTGGGTAGAGCTCAAAGTTCAGATAAAAATACCCATATTTTTTTCCTTCTGCTGTGATGTTCAAGTTCCGTTCACTCGAGATAAATATACCGTATACGGTGTTGTAGCGTATGTGGCCCACGCGGAAGTATCTGAATGTAAAAGAACTTGTTGTTGGGCTAGTTGGTGTTGACTATCTGAGTGTGTTTTAGAGCTGCAGAAAAAGAGTAAAAAGAAAAAAATAAAGGAGAAAAGCGAGCCAGCCCGAACCCTTCCGAGCTCATGTCCAGGCTGCCTAACTAATCCCTGATGTTTGGGATTGAAGCAGAGAACCTTGAAGGGCTACAGAGATTTTGTCGGGGGGCCGGTAAGCCCATTAGCACTCGTGCGAGAAGGCCGTAAAAAAGCAAGGAGAAAAATAGAGGAGGGAAGGGGAGGAGGAAAAAAAGAAAAGAGGGGGAATTTCTGCCACGCTGAAGAAAATTTTGAGCGCCCGCCTTTAAGCTGAAACAAAGTATAGTCGCTAATATATGAAAAAAAAAAAACTAAGCATGCAAGATTTTTTTTGCGTCTCGTTAATATAATATAACTATATTAAATATGCCCATAGCGTTAAAAAAGGAGAAATTGAGGCCAGACAGTCTATTGACGCTTACGACGTGGAGCCAATCCTACGCGAGCAGGTACGTAAGACTTTAAAAATATCACGATCCGGAGCTGACTTATACCCTCGGCTCAGATCTCGCTTCCGCATCTACAACGGGTGCATTATTTTTATAATTGAGAGTAAAGTAACCTGACGTTATTACGTATTATAAACAACGCAAGCGTTTGAGCTCCGATAAATAGCACCCCAAACAGAGTCGGACGAAGAGTGTCATTTGCTCTCGTCGCCTGCGTGTGCAGGGACGCTGAACTAATTTGATAGCAGGTGCAAGGTATTGAGGAACCAAGTCTGAACTCGCGCAGAACTGTGATGACACGATCGCGTCGGTGCAACGGCCGTACAACTTCCGGTTCAATGGAATGCGACAGTTCCGGTACTGATAAACTATAATAGACCCTTTCCGGAATTCAGTGCCATCTGGTGACTCAAATGGCGGTTAATCTTTTACTATACTAATGGCGGCAATGAACCTGTGGTCTGCAGTATTTAATGGGGCACCATCACTTAAAGGTCAACGGTAAACGAGATTATGCACTTCACTACAATTATTTTCAATCTCTTTTAGTGTCAATGGCGAAACAAGTGCAGCCAGTCGGAACGAAGCGCTAACCCACATAGACGCCTTGATAGAGTTCTATACATCAAGGGGCTTTGAGGCCGATTGTGTGCTACTAACAGACTGACTGGGACCGAGTTAGAAATGAACGCTTACGCAGCTCTTACGTCCAACTCCTGCTTCACGCCGCGCTAACATCGAGAATGTATGGGCCTCAAATCATCTGCTTAGGAGCATCTTCAACTTCTTCCTTCATCAGTAAACAGAAGGCCTCCATTAATATAGCACATATTCCGTTTTCAGATGATGATGATAGTGATCAAAGTGGCCAGACTGAATTCCGGAAAGGGTCTATTCAGCCAGTTAAAGACCGACTACCAGTTTGCGCTTTCGACTTTTCCCCCACTTCCTCTCCCCTCTTTCTACCCTATCCACCGTTGCCTGTCTCCTCCTCCCCCATATTGAGAGGCATCTTCTGCCTTGCAGAATCTCGAGTCTGGTCGTCGGCCTTGGAACGGACCTTATGTCTCCGGATTTCTGTGCAGGGTCCGGCCAAATGCGGGCGCATGGATGGCTCTAGAAACTGCTTTACCGGAGTAAGATGTCATGCAGTCAGCAAACCCACGCCATCGCTTCCGTGTCCTTAAAAGCACGGTACAAACTTTTTGATTTGGAGTACAGATAACCAACTCGGTTTTGTAATCCTGTTTAAAAAATCAATCGTCTCAATAAAACCGTAAGAATCAAAAAAGTATCATTGATCATTCGGGGACTTGTTTTTTATTGCAAGTTAAAAGGGAACGTCGCCATAACTATTCCATTTTTTCACAATCATAAACAATCCTTAAGACTTTCTGCCATTTCATTCATTGTTTTACAAATTAAATGCACATATGCGCAACATTAATTGTTTTTTTAATTATGTGTCACAAGTTTATGTTCCTATTTTTATATACTTTACTACAAGTCGAACAAGCTGCCACAACATTGCGGTTAGTTGGGGTGCGATTCCGAACTTAATGTTTGCAACTAACAAAAAAAACAATTCTGAATATTTAACAAACGTGACGAAATCGCAACCACAAAAATTACTTTTATTGTCTTTGTTTTATAAGAGACTTTAAGTAGATCGTTCCAATACCTCTGATAAAGCAGATAGCGATTTCCGATGACTTTCCGAATATGATTCACGCTCGAAGTTGTCGATGGGTATATGGGGCATATCGGAGTCATCGGAATGATTTGCTAAAACTCTCTTTTATGTAACCTTCGGATATGTGAACCGGTGCACTCTAAAACCCGCCTAAATGCATCTGTGGTCCACCAGAGTACTGCAGTTGTTTCTGATATATCTGGCTCGCTCACATACTGGCATCCATGCATCTGACACCCAAACATATTTCAACGTTTCTGTCTCTCATGCGGCGTTCCAATGACCCACGCCATCAAATACACATCACGCCATTCTTATGGGCGTGTCGACATCTGTATGTTTGATGTTAAGAAACTGTGACTTGCTCTGACTGATTAGGAAAGCTATGAGGTCGAATGCTAAACTTCCCGAGTAACGTATTAATATGCCAGTTCTGACAAATGTGATATCAAAAGGTGCTTCATAAGTTAATAGGTTTTTCCCCCTTTATTTATTGACGTGATTCCGTTTTATATCGCTACAAAATTGCTATTTCTATTATTTTTTTAATTTTAGATAAATCATATTTCGTGAGTCCATTGCTCATTTGTATTTATTAAATCACACAGACCGTGCACAAATGTTATCGTGTACTTTACTACATTAAAAGCTTAGAAAACAGTTAGGTCTCTTCTATAGTGGCCAATTAAAAGCTCAATATTAAACTAGCAACTAAAGATACGTAACATTTTACAACAATAAATTATAATTGAATAAATCCTCTTTACTTTTACGTTACCTTTCTATTGGTGGTACAAAATTACAAAGAAGTCATAAGCCATCAAGATTGAAGCAAAAGGACATGAACGGGGGAGTTGCATCTTATGGAAAGTTTGAAAGCAAAATCTACATGATAGTGTATCTCGACATTTTGATACAAACAGGTCATGGCATGCTTAATTAAAAACGCAAGAAACAAATAAAAAACAGTTCTATCTAATCATGAACCCTCTACGCAAATGTATAGGATGAAGAGGCATAATCGGCAGTGTGCTCTCGTAGATGCAAGTATAGCAGTGCTCCAGATACTTAGGGACATTCGCTAATCATTTTTGCTGGCCCGTGATATTGATGATAAGAATATAAACACTATTGATTACGATCGCCAACACAGCGCTTATAAGCTGTGGCAAGTACTTTGCGGCGCCATTATGGAACCGTTGGCGCATTCGAAGGCCCGCCGGAAGTACCGCAGACTTAACAACGGTAGATGACACGCCATACTATAGCTCAGGGAGAGTCCTGGTACGTTGTCGTCGGGATGCGTCGTGCAGAACTGCTGACAATACCTGAGAAAGAAATGTTTCTCCAGTGTTTTCTTCCCGGCAACATTAGCCAGCGAATGGGCGACGGCCAGACCCCAGACGCTAGACACGAGGTCATCCTTGACGGCAGAAGTGACCGGACCGTGCCGCTGCGGGAGGTTCAGCGCCATAAGGCAATCGGCGTGAGCGCTGAAGGCGTCCAGCTGTTTCTGAGACCACCACTTCTGCTTCAGACCTCCAGGCTCATAGTTGCTACCTTCTCGAAGGAACGACTTGATGAGGGTGGAGGCCAACCTGGCACCCACGGTGGACAAGTCCACGAGCGGTTCCTCGACGCTGTTGAAGAATAAAGGCGGTACCATCATGACACTAGGCACACGTACCTTGTTCATCAAGTAGTCGTACTCAAGGGCACCGATGAGGAGCTCGAGATCGTCGCTGCTGTTGGTATCTGGCCTCGGGTAGCGATTACTATCTTCTTTGTTCAGACGAACAATCTTGACGTAGTTTTTCATGAAATCGTTCGTCATGGGAGCTTTTCTATAGCCGGTGTCTGCGGTGTTGTGCCTGAGGACTAAGAGCGTCACGTTCGATGCCTTGATTTGTGACTTTAATGCGATATCTTCGTCAATCCAGCGCTGTCGACTTATGTCCTTGGTTACCTGTTGTCGTACTTTCGTGAACAGTGACTCGAACTCGCCGTTGACAATGTTTCCGACGTAGTATTCTCCGAGGAAACTGATCAAAGGAGCTCGGAAGTTTGCGTACGCCAACTTCAGGCAAGTCCATTGAGGCATCACATCGCGATTGAAGTCGAATCGCAGGAGCTCGGTCACCGCTTGGACAAACACGTAAAGGATAACGAAGTGATCACTTTGAAGGTCCGGTTTGAAATATAAATCAAACATAACTTTGAGGCTGTCCATGCCTGCCACCCACAACTTCTGACTGACGTTTTTAAGCCTAATCGAATAATCAAGATTGTCGTTGATTGCATCTAGCCAGTCGGTAGCTTTCAGTAGGTTTGGAACGGTGGGAAGTTGCTCTACCATGTACTTCTGTTTGGCAGCGAATTTTGTCGTCTTAGTAATGTTGCCCACTGCCTTGTCCCACTCAAGTATCTGCATAGTCACGTCGAATGTGATGTTTTCGAGGCCAAAGGCGTACATAATCTCCGCCATATAAACCATCCAATCACTGTGGGTTTTCGAACCCGCCATTTTTGCCTCGACAGAAGAGGGCGGCGCTAAGCTGATAACAGAACCCGTAGAATCTTTGATGAGGTCAAGTTTAAGGAGGGTGTTAATTCCGTGCGTGAGACTCAAACGCACGACAAAAAAGAACAGGGACAGTGGGTCGTCGTTTCGAAACCATTCCGTGAAACTCAGATCAAGAAGAGCAATTGCCTTACGCACGAGCACAGGGAAGGGCATCGGAACTTTAAGGAAATCGATGCAGGTCCCGTAGAAAGTTGTCAGGTCGTAAGATGTGTCTTTTTCATCTTCAATCTTGTGACTGTGGAGAAGGTAGTAGTCAGTGGTGTCCTTAAACCTTGCAATGAGCTCGTCAGTAAAAGTCCTGTATCCACGAGAATTCGACGACCAGCCTCCACAAGCGTACTCGAAGAAGTCGCGGCAAGGATCCGCGTTTTGGACGGGGCTCATCATTTTCTTCACCAGCTGTAGGCTAGTCTTGCATTTAGATGAGTGGCACGGCGATCGCAGAACCTTGGACAGCTCATTCAGCTGCCTGGCGTACATGGCAGCAGTTAGGGCCCCGACGCAAAAAAGAAGGCATCCGAAACTTATGCAGATCACTTTGAAGGCCTGGGACTTCTCCTTGGCATTCAGCTTCCTAAATGTACGTGTGCGATGCTGCAACGACCGTCTTGCTCGATCTGTGTCGTCCGATTCCGGGCCGAGTGTTTCTGCACAGCGTGACATTGTAAAATGTTAGTTTTCAAGATCACATGTTTATCAATGAGTTTCAGACGTCACTATAGTTGTGCTTGGATATTTTTGTGTTTGTCCTTTAGCACCCTTGTTCCCCTTCTCCCGGAAGTATTATCGTTATTCCTGTACAGCTCGCTTGCACCTTTGCATTAATTGCAACATAATCATAACCTTAAAATGCAGGCCGTTCACCCTTGTAGCTGTTAGACTCCTGGCAGCTGTTAAAAACCCTCTGCTCTACTGACATCTAACTCGTGGTTAGCTCAGTTGGTAGAGCGCTCCACTGCAAATGGAGAGGTCTCTGGTTTGATACCAAAACCAAGGCGGATATTTTCAGCCGCGCACCAGTCATGTTGTGTTCGGAGATTTTTGCTTTTGTCCCCCTTGTTCCCCTTCTCCGGGGATTACTATTGTTATACAGAGCGTTTTGTTTTAAACCGAGCGGATATTTTTCTATATAAAAAAAGGAACCGCAAAAGCTACACTATAGTGGGATATAAGTTAAGAACACGCCAAATCATCACCACAATATACCAGGAACCACATCAAATCGCTCCACCTGCCAAGCAGGGCCAGTTATGGGACGTATGAATTGTCAAACAGAAAGGCTTTGGCACGATCCAGGGTGAACGAAGCGGGAGCACTGACTGCTAGTCCTTTTCGCATAAAGGTTCTTTTTTTCCAGTGTTCAGCTTGTTTTGTCCTTCTCGTTACTGAGCAGTATCCGTCAATACGCACACGTCAGCGCGACGTGCGCCTAGGTTACGGACTCTCTGCGCATTGCAGATGAGCAGTGACTGGCGGTGGTGCAGGCGTGGAAGGGGCGATCCGGCGCGTTCTTGACTTGTATCTGGTTATGATTCGGTCTGTACAGATAAATCATATCCCCCCCCCCCCCCCCCCCCCGTTCCCTGAAGCTTCACAAGGGCACAAGGGAGACGTTTGTGTAAAAAACAGACACCTTCTTGTTTTATGAAGAATTGTTTATTATACCAATATTAAAATACAATAATTGACGTCCCGGGGGTCGATGTCGGCGAGGCAGCAGGATCGAGCACTAGCCTAAGGCTGACCCAATGTCGTGCACAACGAATGTTTCCAGACATAATCCACTTTCCAGAAGCTTCTGAACACAGCAAGTGTCGAAAATGCTCTGGAACGTTCCACAGAAGTAACAGATGGTAAAAGGAAAACCATACTATAGACCTTTTCCGCTTACTCTCTTCCCCGACCGCCAAGCAGGCATATCCGGTATGGGCGACAAAAATATATCAAAACGTTTCAACCTGGAAATAGTAAAAAAATAGAGGGGAGGCTAAACGAGAATGTGTGACGGTTACGTTTATGTCCTAAATGCCTTCTATTGGCGTGGCGACGGCAAAACAATGTTTTCGCCCATACTGGAAGTGACGACAATTCAAGATGGCGGCGGCCTTGCGAAAAAGGTCTATACACCAACTCAACTCTCCTACGTCACGAAGCGGTGGTGGCGCGCCGGACGCACTTCCGGTTTGGGGCGGTGGGCAGAAGTCGCCGTGTCAGACATGCATTCCTGTGTTCCTTCGGAAGAAACGAGACAAAAAACCTGCCTTCTCGTCAAAATGCTGCGATGGGGGCTTTACAAAGAGAGTCTGGGAAGGTTTGAAGATCAGTTTTCATGTGTTTTTGCACCCTCCGTTCGTCCGAGAACGTCGATAGCAGCCGTGAAAAGGGCAAACCTGACGCTGTCGAACTACGATTGCGTGTGCGGGCCACAATTTGTAGTCGCCAGATGTATTTGCTTTGTTACAACATGACCGAGAGAAAAACCCCAAGTTGTCGGGACCACCCACGGATTCAGTGCGTCTTCAAATTCACACGGCCGCCTGATCGTTCGAACTTTCGTCTGCTCTTTCAAAGTTGTCTGCTTTTTGTCGTCTGCTCATTCAAACAAAAACGGCCCGTAGACCAAACTTTGACCTGGTGATTGCAATAAGAAGTAATTGCAGGCCTCAAAAGACTTAAGTAGGCTCGGTGTAAGCAGTAGATACAAGATGTTGATCATTGGTACCGGTGGCCATCACCTACTTGTTACGCTTTGTCTGTTCCCGCTTCCGATTTTCAGTATCGACGTCGATCATCGCCGCTACCTTCTACACTTTTGCAGCACGAGGGTCGTCGCGACCGAAAGTAGCTAGAAGAGTCTCATCATGGTTTTGTACGTCCATTCTGCGGCGGTCATGCAAATACATCACCGCACGTCAAATTATTTATGCAAAGTTTAGCAGCGTAACGAGCCTTGATGATTTCGCTCAGGCGATTAAAGTGGTAAGACATTGATTGCGATGAGGACGTAGAATCGACAACTCCAACGCGAAAAAAGTATGCAGACTCACACAGACGCCGACAACGTGACATTCGAATGGTTTGTTGACGCGGGAGGCGGTGCTTCTTGCCCGTACTCCATTGCGCGTGCGTTCCAACTGTCGTCTGCTCTTTCAAACTTGGCTGCTTTTTGTCGTCAGCTCGTTCAAACGACAGCGGCTCGTAAACCAAACATTGACCCGGTAATTGCGATAAGAACTAAGTGCAGGCCTCAAAACACTTTTGAAGGTTGGTTGGGGTAAGTCGGCTAAGTGTAAACAGATACAAGAAGTTGTTGATCATTGTTACCAGTGGCCATCACCGACTTGTAATGCCCGATTGTACTTGAGGTTTTCAGTATCGATGTCCACCATCTCAGCTACGGTCCACGCTTTTGCAGTCCGAGCGACGTCGCGACTGAAAATAGCGAGCAGAATCTCGACGTGGGAGTCAGGCTTTAGCGCCCATTCTGCGGCGTCCACGTGAAACGAATCGCCGCAAGTCACATTATTCACGCAAAGTTTTGCCTCGATAGTTTTGCTGGAGCCGCTCAAGTAGTCAGACATTGTTAGGAGGACGTAGAATCAACAATTCCAACGCGAAAAAGAGCACGGGGACTCTTACCGACGCCGAAAACAACGCAATTCAATGGTTTGTTTATGGGCGACGGCGGGCTTCTTGCCCACCATCCACGGCGCATGCGTGGCGCCGGTGACGTCCGCTAGGGGCGCTCCGGTTTGTTTGTAAACATGAGTTGGTGTATACTCGGCGACAACTGTTCTTGGCAATGCAGTGGAAGGTACGTCCCGCGTCCCCTCTCCCATTTTGAGTGTACGCACGATCTCCTCCTCTCCTCGGAATGGGGGGAGGAGGAGAGCCTGCGTACACTCAAAATGGGAGAGGGGACGCGGGCCTGTGCCTTCCACTGCATTGCCAAGAAAAGTTGTCGCCGAGTATAGCGGGGTTCCAACCAGGTTTGTCTGCGGCGGGAAAGGAAGAGAAGGGGGGGGGGGGGGGGGGGAGAAGGGGCATGCATTTTTTACTTAGCCGAGCACGTGGTAGGTTTAGGCGCCTTGCTACATCTTTATTTTTAAGTGTTTCTTATTTATGATTTCATTTTTGTTCGTCTATAGTATCACGATTGCAGAGAGCACGCTATGACGTTGTGTCTCTTTCGCTGTTTGATTGGCTCTTCGGCTCATAACATCGGTCGCGCTCGGACCGAAGCTGAAACGAAGCATAGACACACTCAAATGTCGTCAGTCGGGGACTATGCCTATACTTCGGCCTTCAGAACTATGTCTTCAGGTTTTCCAAAAAAGAAACTGAAACGTAATGTGCGCTTTTATTCTTAAAATCACGAAAGGAGTTTCTTAGTCAGTGCCGTTGAGTACGAGCATACTTGGGCCCCACTATTGTCAGTGCGATTGTGAAAAGTGAAAAACAGTTTAACTGCATGGTGTTGCATCGCCCTTTTAACAAATAAAATGTGCGTATTATTCTTACCGAGCGTCTTTCCTCCAGATATTTCGGATGCTGTGAAAAAAAATTAAAAGACGTGAGGATACATTCCCATGGGTCCAGCAACCTTTTCTCTTATTACAGCGGCCTAGAATGTTGTAGTGGGCTCACCGCAGGCACGCCTGCTGAGGTGGTTCATGTCCATATTGTGAGATGGCGCTCCGCTCGACTCCTCCTGAAGCTTTTCCGTGCGCTTCTGCGATCGCGTGCGTATGAGCGCGTGTGCGCGTCAGTGTTTTTACAGATAGCTGGAAAGATCCTAAAGGATCGTAGGAACAGCGTCGTCCGAAAGCATTGGCTTCCCACGCTGAACGCGTACTTCTTTACCGTGAATGACGTGCACGTAATTTCTAATTACGTACCGTGGTTCAAACTGTAATTCGAACACAGCAGAGGTTTCGTCTAACGTCTTGTCTGCTCGATGCAAGTTCTTACCCCACAGTTTTCGCCGCTCCTCGCGTTCGGGTACATCGATCAAAAACATACCTTTGGCGCGTCCTTTACGCGAGCGTATCCTGTTCTATATCCAGGCGCAAAACGGTAGTTTCGCCGTTGAATAGGCACTCTTGCATCGAAGTCGAACAACAAACCGCAAGACAACTGTAATCACAGTGACCTCACGGTAAAGGCACGCCGACGAGCACACGCGAGGTGCAGTCACTCACTCGACGCCAACACCGAAGCCGAACGCAGACACACGTGGCCGGGCGTAGCTGGGATGCATGACGCTTCAAGATGGATATGGATGGCGGCTATTCCCTTTGAACTGGGCGGTGATAGGAGGAGTCGACAGCAGCGTCCGCATCGGCCTCCGAGACATCCGACATAGACAGCCTCACCTCGAAGCATGGGCGAGAAAGGGACTGTGAGCTCACTGCCCCATTCAAGGTCACTGTACTCTTATGGTGAACTCCCCGGCTAGATCCGGAGCTCCTTCCAAAATCCGTGCGGAAGATAAAAATCTGCTTCTTGGGACCCGCTTCAAATCAACGAGCGAAACATGAACTCGCATTTTTGGAGCGACCTGCCCGAGATGGTCTGCCGTTCCAAATGGCCGCAGCTTGAACCTGACAAGCCGACCAACGTCTCAGTCGACTGAGCTTTCCGGCGACCAGTCACTGCGGTCA